CTTTAAAATATACCTGGTTACCCAATAGACATTCAGCTTATGTTTATTTAATAGAGAAGTAAACAAAAATTTTTGGAGTTACTATTAAGGATTTTGACCATGTCATAAGTAATGCAGCTTGTAGTAGACAACAAATGTTTGTTGAATAAATGAATTCCTATGTACTATTTTTCTTTTTTTATTACAAAAGCAATATAACATTAAAAGCTTGTTTAAATCATTTATAAAATATCACCACCCTAATAGCAACTATTTTTCTTAGCCCGTTTTCTATCTTTTTAATTATACAAGTAAAACATAGATATCTTTGTATTAGTATAACAATAATATTCAAATAATATAGAAATACATAAAATTAAAGGTAAGTCCCTTTAATAATCTATATCTCTCAAGAGGGATAGTCACTTCTGTCTTTTTCTATAAATGTGATTTTATATACAGTATGAAATAATATGTATATAGTTTTAAATTCTATTTTTTTATGTCTTAGAAATGTTTCTGATGTTATTACTTTATAGTTTTATGGAACTGTTTCATTTTAGAGTTGAGATGGACTTAGTGAAACAACATTGTCTCTTACAAAAATATTCCTTGGATAAAGATTCCTATTTCTAGGTTCCTCATTTATGCTTAGGCCTAGTGATTTCCATTTATGTCTCAGTCATTTAAAGGTTCTGAGTTCCTATAATCACAAAGTTGGAAAGAAACAGAGTCTGGATTTAAACCCAGACCTTCTCAGTTAAAATCCAGTCATCTTTCCACTTATTGACTATCTCTCTGACCTTTAGCTTCCTTAACTGTAAAATAGGAATAACAGTGTCTTTCTTCCTCCCCTGAGGATAAATATGATAATCACCAAAGGGGTAATGAATAGGACCTTATGTATTAACTAAGATCCACAACAGATCAGGGAAGTATCTATATTCATTCATTTTCAGAGAACCATATTAATCTCATAATTCAGTGGTTTGATTATTTAGGTAATAGGAATAAAACAAGGATTTGCTGGATGCCAAACTCATAACTCAGCTTGTCCATATGTCTTTGGGTTTTGAAAATGGTGTCCAGTCTAAGTTACTTGTTTTCTTATTTAATTTCAAATTATAACTAGTAAACTATTACCAGAGTAGAAAGATTTGGGTTTTCACATATTGCTGCTTTTTTCATTTAAAAAATATCTACCCTGAAATATGTTTTAAGATGATTTCATGTGTAATTTTTCCTGGCATGTTATTTTGTTCTATCCTGCCTATGATGGCTGTGGGTAAAAAACTCTAAGAACCTTACTTTTATTTGTTTTAGATTCAGCTGATGTCATTAGTATAAATATATCCAATATGAATTATGCTTCTAACATGGCAGGTGTGTAATAGAAGCTTAGGGGTAGAATAGCAATGACTTGATTTTCTGTGATTCTGAGCATCATTAAAGTAGGCTATCAGAGTTAGCCAAGAGAGAATTAGATATAATTGCTTGCCTAAAGTGATAATATTTTTCCATCTCTTGAATACCAATGAAGGCAGATGATTTCAGGGGGAAGACTCCTCATTTGGGAGATGAGAAAGATCAAATAAGGGTAATAATTAAAAAGAGACCAAAATACAGCGTATGTATACCAGTTGTATGCTAATCATTGTTTAAAAAGGTCCATAAGATAAAACATTTCTTATTCCAAATTATTTTGTTAAAGTATTTGTTTTTTTAAAGTCATTAAGTCCTTGTGTATGTTTTTAGAAATTTTATAGAAATAATACAGCCTAAGAGAGGAGGGAAGAGGCATTTGACTTGTACCATTTTAAGAATTATCCTCTAGCCCTGGCCGGTTTGGCTCAGTGGTTAGAGCGTCGGCCTGCGGTCCCGAGAGACCAGGGTTCGGTTCCCGCTAAGGGCACGTACCTCGGTTGCAGTTTGTCCCTGGCCCTGGTTGGTCGTGTGGGTGGCAGCCACTCGATGTGTCCCTTTCACATCGATGTTTCCCTCTCTCTCTCTTCCTCTCTCTCCCTCCCACTCTATCTGAACAAAAAAAAAATGTCCTTGGGTGAGGATTTAAAAAAAAAAAAGAATTATCCTCTAAGGATAGGATTTACATTTAAAAATCTAAGAGAAATAAAAGAAAATTAGCACATTGCTTTTACTTTCATTTTTAATTCTTTTATTTTACTCCCCCCCCCCCCATAATCTCCTTTTATACAATAATTTGAACTCAGTGATTTCAGTAATTAGGAAAGAAAATCAGCTTTCAATAATAAGACTTGATATTATATTACTTATACTTACCTGATAAATACTTATTTTGTTACCTCCTGATGAGTGTATCTTTTACTGTATTCTCAATTCATTACTTTTTTCCAGCAAACAAAATGATGGTTGTGTAAAGTAAATGAGATATTATATGTAACACTTGGCATATAGTAAGCATTAAATTAAAAAAAGTTGCAAATATAATTTACAGCTCAGTTGTTTGTCTTAATCTCTTTGTATTGATCTTGTTTTGAAAATATGAGAACAGTGTGAATTTTGTTAAGAGGCTAAATTTGCTTTATTTCTTGTAAACCATAGTAGATGAGTTATAGGATGTTTTTAATGCAACCATGATGCTAATAATTGAACTGTACTACTAAGCTAGACCTTGTGTCTATCTATAGAATGAGGTAAACAGATATGTCAGAGCACATCCAACTAAACCTAGATAGCTAAGGAATGTTTTGTTAGGCCTTTTAAGTTGATGATTCGTTTGGCACAATGTTGTAGTATAAATATTTCACCTAATTTGTTTTTGATGAAAAAAAGTTTTGTTGAAGTAATTTAAACCTGAAAATGTGTTTATATCCAAGCTTGACTGTTCATTATAATCACTTGTGAACTATTTAAAAATATTTGTTTCTGTTCCTTACCACTGACTTTCCAGGAGATGCTGCACAATGGTGTGCTGGTACATGTTTAACAAACCAGCTCGGGGGGGGGGGGGGGGGGACTGATTTTCAGTGCTTGCTGATTTCCATGGGGTAAATACTTCCACTATAGCCAATTCCAAGCTATTAAGATGATAACATTGAATGTTGGGAAAAGATATATAACACTGCATAGTGTTTCCATCATACAGATAAAATAAACATACATAACCTAAAAGAATAATAATAGCAAAATTTAGTAATTAAGAAGTAATGGGTTTTGAATTTGTATTACCTTTGTTTTTAATATAATTATTGTAAGTTTATGCAGTTTAATTTTTAATAATGACTGTGTTTAACAGCCAGCTTACAAAGTTTATGAAAATTTAACAGTTCGCTCTCATGAGCCTGGTACAAACTCACACAATACTGGAGCTCTGAGATATCTGTATTTTCTTAACCAACTAAATAATTCTGATGTAAGCAACCAGTCAAACAGTTATTTAAAAAAAAAATACAGATCTGATCCTAAGGCACAAGAAGGCATTCTACAGTCAGGCACAAAATGTCTCTTCCAGCCTCATTTCAAGTCATACCCATTCCCTACGTCCTCTGTGTTTCACCCACACTAGATTTAGATTACTTACAGCTCCTCAAACACACATTGCACTTTTCCACTCTCATGCCTTTTCTTTATCTTCCTTTTGCCTTGAATGGCCTTGCCTCATCTGCCTGACTTTTGTAGCACTATTTATTTACCTTTCTAGAAATAACTCAAATGCCACTCCCTCTTATTTCCTACTGTTGGAAACATTCCAATTCTCCTTGATGTTCTCATAGCACTTTGTTTATAATTCATTTTGAGCTCAAATTTATTATCAGTAACAAATGGTTGTTTTGCTTACTAGATTACAAATGGCTAACGGGTGGCTTTGAATCATACTGTACTTAACACTTTAATACCTGAAAATGATTAATAAACACTTGTTTATTTTAATAGAAAGGATTGTGGATAGTGCATGATACATCATTTACTTCCTATGCCTTTGGGAAACTAATCAAAATTTAAACTTTTTAAAAATGAGGTGCTTTGTATCTGTTCCACCTGATGATTCAGGACCATATTAGTAGTTATATGCGTATATCCTGCTCCTAGAAAACACAAATAATATCATGACGACTCTCAAAGTTAAAGAAATATTTCATTAGAGAATATATGAAGCACTTAAGAGTGACAAAAAAGACCAAATTTTATAACTACATTTACATATTTTTTATTTTGATTTAGCGCACTATAAAGACACTTTTTAGCATAAAGCCAAAGGTTATAGTGTTCCCAGCATAAAGTCACTTTGAGCCTTTGTATCAATAAACAACCTCTGTAAGAAATAAAATAATTATGCTTTGCTTTGTGGTTTGAGAGAAATTTGCTTGTATACATGTTCTTAGGATACATTTTTCATCATTTGGTTGCTTTCTGGTATTTTATCTAGAAAATTATCTGATTGTCGTCACAAATAAGTATGACAAGACCTAAGTATATGAAGGAAATGTTCTAAACTAAAAATAATTCAGTAAATTTTTGAAGCAGATACAGTGCATTTAAGTAGTGTTTCATAAATGTTTTTCATGTTTGACCCTAAGCTGCCACCTGATGGCAAAAACTAAAATGACATCTTTTGTAAGTAATATTAAAAACCTCCATTGCGCCCGGCCTGTGTGGCACTGGTTGAGTGCCGACCCATGCACCAAGAGGTTGCTGGTTCAATTCCCAGTCAGGGCATAGGTTATGGGCCAAATCCCCAGTGGGGGCATGCAGGAGGTGACCAGTCAGTGTTCTCTCTCATCCATGTTTCTGTCCCTCTCTCCCTCTCCTTTCCGCTCTCTCTCAATTCAATGAAGAAAAAATATTTTTAAAAATAAATAAATAAAAGTTGTAGTTATTTGGATTTCTATACATTAGGCATAAAGCCTCCAAAATTCCAAATGCACATTTGTACAACATTTATGAGTTTGATAAATGTTAAGAATCTGTTCCTTAATTAGATTTATTGAATAAAGAATTATACTTGAATCTAGTAATTTTTCCTTTCCCTTTTCTTTCTTCAGAGCAAGATCATTCAGATACCAAGGTATTCTTTTACCTGTGGGTTGTCTTTTGTGTCATCAGTTCCTGCTATACCCTCATCTGGGATCTGAAGATGGATTGGGGTCTCTTTGATAAGAATGCAGGAGAAAACACTTTCCTCCGGGAAGAGATTGTATACCCCCAAAAAGTATGTACAGTGTTTGTGTGTGTTTAAGAAAACAAAACGAACAAATAAAACCTCAGGTGTAGCTAAATACTATTACAATTTATGCTCAACCCCAACCTAATAAGAAAAAATAAGTGTTTACTAAAAAATACTCATTCAGTCTGCAAAAAGTATCAGGTGTTTACTATATGCTGGACACTGTAGAAAATGAAAATAAAGCCCTGGCTGGTTTGGCTCAGCAGTTGGAGTGTCAGCCCACAGGACCAGAGAGGCCCGGGTTCGGTTCCCGCTAAGGCATGTACCTTGGTTGCAATTTGTCCCCGGCCCCAGTTGGGGCTGTGTGAGTAGTAACCAGTTGATGTGTCTCTCTCACACCGATGTTTCTCTTTCTCTCTTCCTCCCTCTCTCCCTCCCGCTCTGTCTGAAGATAAATGCAAAAATGTCCTCGGGTGAGCATAAAAAAAAATGAAAATAAAGTTAAAGAGGCCATGAACTATATTATAAACAAATAAGTAAACAGATTGCAATACCATGTAATAAAGGTTAACAGAGGAACAAATAGCTTACTATGATTTATGATTTATTTTTGAACATGCAATTTCCTCCTCTCAAATGCCCTCTCTTCTCTGCCTGCCTTGCAAACTGCTGTTCCTTCTTTTTAAAAGTCAGTTCTAGTGCTACTTTCTCTAAGAAGCCTTTATTTCTCTAAGCATATTTAGCTATTCATCCTAATCTCATTTTACTCTATACAAACTTCATTGTAGCAGTTACTGTATTATAATGATCTGTTTAGGTATTCATATCCCTCACTGCCCTGCATAGTTCCTGGTGTATAGTAGACTTAATGTGTGTGGAATGAGTGTGTAAATACTTGCCTGAAGGAGCAGTGCTGTCGAAGGCAGGAAAGGGAGTGCCTGATTGCTTGGTGCATCAAGAAAGTTTCTTTCATTCATTTCAACCAGCTTTTGTTAAAGTGCCAATTCAATCTGGAATATATGGATAATTCTTTAGGAATTATTTTAGGATTTATCTATATATGAATAAAAACACGAGAGGCTCAATTAAAAAAGTCAAAAGACCAAGCGTATCTTTACTCAGATATTGAAAATAAATTAAACAGTGAACGGGAAGCCTGATAAGTGAATTCTAATCACTCTCTAATTAGCTATATAACTTTAGGCAACCAGACTACAGTGTATTCTTTTCTATAAGGTTGTGTGTTACACTAGGTTATTTCTTGATCTTTTCCCAGTTATAAAATCCTGTGATGTGGAGGGGGGGAGTCACTAATATTTAATACTATGGCGGGATTCCCAGTCAGGGCACATACCCAGGTTGTGGGTGCGTACTGGAGGCAAGCAGTCAGTGTTGCTCTTTCACACAGAAGTTTCTCTCCTCTCTCTCTTCCTCCTCCTCCCTCTCCCTCTCCCTCTCCCACGGCTCCTCCCTCTCCCTCTCTCTCCCTTCCTTTCTCTAAAATCAGTTTAAAAAAAAGAAAGTACAAATAACACAGCTAATAAATCTGTCAGTCGTTTCTAATATTAGCTGTTGAGTCATTAGCATATCAAGTACATATTAGAATGTCATCTCAGTCAGATTGAAGATCTCATTTGGCTTGTATTCCTGGGGTCTAGAAGAGAGCCTGGTGGTATACAATATGGGAATGAAGATACTATATTTGTTAAATGATTACTGAAATTCAGTTAAACTTCATTTTGAATGTTGCACCCTTTAAGAAAAGAAATTAATTTGTGAAATCTTTCTAAAATATAAATAGAATAAAATTTTTCTTCTTGAACCTGAGCTTGTTGGTAAGGTATGCATGGTCATGTTGCTGAGATAGGTGTGCTTATTTCTGAGAAACATGATGTACTCAATTTGCTTATTATTCCTCAGGCCTATTACTACTGTGCCATCATAGAAGATGTGATACTGCGCTTTGCTTGGACTATCCAAATCTCAGTTACCTCCACGACTTTGTTGCCTCATACTGGGGACATCATTGCTACTGTCTTGGCTCCCCTTGAGGTTTTCCGGTAAGCAAACTACTGAAAAGTTTATCAAAGATTCTTTTTACCTAAAATTTGTCCGAATTAACATTTATTAGAGCTTATACTTGCAAAGCTTAAATTTTACAACTTGTCTCAATGTTATCAGCCTCAGAGTTGGAAAATTCTGTGGGACTAAGAAATTAATTTTTACAAAGTTAAGTAACTACTGATGAGGACATATAAACATTTTTAGAATTGGGCTCCATCAGAAGGGGTATGAGTAAAATTTAGGAAATAAAAATTCTTAGAACAGAAATTGAAAAGCTTTTGAGAATCATTTTTTGCAACTTTTTAGTTTTGGTTATTCAGTCTAATGTTCTCACTGGAAACAAAAGGATACTGGATAATGTGTTAAATCTTCCTAAAAATATCAGTGATCTAACAAGATAGCCTCAAATCTAAGTGAAAGCAGATACCCCAAAATAAGCAGAGCACTAAAGCCAATTTTGCACTAAAGAAATTTGCTAAACCTAGAGATTTGAGATTAAGTTGTGATAGCCAGTTCAGATTTGTATGCATCTAATAACATAGCTTTAAAATATGGCATTGCTAAAAAGTAGACAATGATGCATTTACAATTTAGAGAAAGATTTTAACATACTTTTCTCAGTAATAAACAGGTAGTCAACTGACCATCTTGACCTAATTGACTTGCGCAGACCACTGCATACAACAGTGACTAAATACACATTATTTTAAATGCATGAAAACATTTAACAAAATTAACCATATGATGGGCCACAAAGGAAATTTTAGAGGATTAAAATCATAAAAAGATAACTGAAAATTCCCAAATACTTAGAAATTAAGCAGTACGTGTCTAATGGGTCAAAGTTGAAATTGCAATGGAAATTTAAAAAGTATTTTGAACAGAATGAAATTGAAAATGTGACAAAAGAAAACGTGGAATACAGCTAAAGCCATGCTTAGAAGGACATGTATAGCCTTAGATGTACATATTAGAAAAGCATGCAGCTAAAAATTTGGAAAAATTTAAAAACAAAATCAAACCCAAAAGAATGTAGAAGGAAAGAAATATATATTTTTAAAAAACTAGAAATTAATGGAATAGAAAATAAACATACAATAGAGAAAAATTAACAAAGCCAGAGTTCTTTAAAAAGACTAATAAAATGGATAAAAACGTCAAAACAGGACTGATAAAGCAAAAAAGTAAAGCAGGCACAAATTACAAATATTAAAAATATTAAAGATTTTTAAAAAAAGAGCAAGATGATATTGAGTAATTTTATGCCAATAAATTTTTTAAATAGACAAATTCTTCAAAAAGCACAGTTTACCAAAACCAATAAAGAAGTAGAAAATATGATAGGCTTATAGTATTTTTTTTTTTTATCCTCACCCGAGGACATTTTTCCATTTTTTGTTCAGACAGAGTGGGAAGGAGAGAGAGAGAGAGAAACATCAACGTGAAAGGGACACATCGAGTGGCTGCCACCTGCATAACCAACCAGGGCCGGGGACAAACTGCAACCGAGTACGTGCCCTTAGCAGGAACCGAACCTGGGTCTCTCTGGATCGCAGGCCGACGCTCTAACCGCTGAGCCAAACTGGCCAGGGCTGTATTGTCTTTTTTTTAATCCTCTGAGGATATTCTTTTATTTATCTTCAGATAGAGTAGGAGGGTGAGAAAGGAAGAGAGAGAGAGAGACACACACATTGACATGAGAGGGACACATCGACTGGTTGTCTCCCACACGACCTTGACCAGGGCCAGGGCCAAACTGCAAATGAGGTACATGCCTTTGACCTGAATTGAATCCTTGACTCATTGGTCCGTAGGCCGATGCTTTACCACTGAGCCAAACTGGCCAGGGTGTAGGCTTATATCTATTAAAGAAATTACATCCATATTAAAATCTTCCCCACAAGAAAACTATAGGCCCAAGGAATTCTTCCAAATACATGAGTAGGAAATATTATCAATTTTACAGAAATTCTTTCAGAGAAAAGAGGCAGTAAAAGGAGCACTTCCAAGTTCATTTTATGCAGCCATCATGACTTTGGTATCTAAAACTACAAGGATGTTTCAAGAAAGACCAATCTGTCTCACATACAGAGATGCAGAAATCCTGAATATTAGCTAATGAATCCAACAATATATAAAATATGAACAGCCAAGTTAGGTCCATTCTAGGAATGTAATATTTAATATTTAAAATCATTTAACATTTAAAAATCAATCTGTGTAACACCACATTAATAAAGGGGGAAAACCCTTTATATGTAGAAAACCACCATTGAAATAGTTCAATACCTGTTTATGAAAAAAATAGATTTTCTATAAAAAACAGAAACAGATCATATTTAATGGTTAAAACACTGTAAGCTTGTCCTTGAGATCAGAAATGAGATGAGTATGCCTACTGTCACCATTTAACATCATACATGTCAGTATAGCTAGTGCAATGAGGCAAGGAAGTATCAGGGTTAGAAAGGGAAAAAATAAAACTATAATTATTTACCAGTGACATGATTGCATATGTAGAAAATTCAAGAGAATGTACAAATACACTATTAAAATGAATGTAGCTGTGTCCCTGAATACAGGGTCGGTGTAAATTAGTGTTCTAAAAAGCAGTCACAAACAACTAGAAAATGAAAAATTTTAAAGCCATACCATTTTGAACAGCATCAGAATATATCAAACACCTAGGAATAAATTTAATGAAAGATGTATGTGTATGAAAACTGAACTTATACTTTCAAACATCAAGACTTATTATGTAGTTACAGTAATTAAGACAATGTCTAGCATTGGTGAAAGAATAGACAATGTCCACTGGAACAGAATAGGAAGTCCAGAAACATCCACCTGTGTTGACACTACCTGATTTGTGACAAAGGTGGCTAAATAACGGTGGAGAAAAACAGGTTTTGTAATAATGATATCGAGTCAACTAGATCCATATAGGGGAAAATAATGAATCTCAACTCCTACAGCAGACTATATGCAAAATTGATCCCAGATGTATTGCAGAGCTAAATACAAAAGGTAAATCAGTGAACTCTAGACGATAGCACAGGGGGCCATAAATTTAGGCTGCTTTGGTATATGGTAATACTTTATTTCTTATTTCTGAATGGTAGTTACAGTGTGATAACTAATAATAATCAACAAACTGTACACTTACTATGTGCACACTTTCATATTATACTTTAATTTAAATGCTTATTTAAAAACAAAGCAGCCCAAAAGAAAGGATTATCTTCAAGGAAAGTGGCAGTTCGATTGACAGCTGACTTCTCAACAGCAACAATGAAAGTTAGGAGTCATTAAAATGATACCATCCATATGCTGAAAGAAAATACTGCCTATCTAGAACTCTTTACCCAGTGAAAATATCTTTCACAAATGGAGGTGAGATAAAGATATTTTCAAACCAGGTATATACCATTTATCAGGATTTAACATATATCAGGATGGCCTGATAAAATAAGAACCTAGAAACAAAGATAAATGGGAAAGATAAAGATTGAATGTGGAAACAGTATATTTGCTCTCTCTAAACCATTTGTCAGCACTTCTTCACTGTCACAAATGTCAAGACCTCCCCCACCCACTCTCTCTTTCACCTATGCAGCTTTATAAATTAAATTTTTTAAAAAAGATTTTTGATTAATACAATCAGATGTTCTATTACTCATTTAAAACAAAAGCAAAAAACTTTCTTTGCCCAATTTTCCTCTTCCATTGTCCAATTTTTCGCTCTCCTTTATAACTAAATGAGAAATATCCATGCTTGCTGTCTCTATTCTTTCACTCCTCCCCCAGAATCCCTTTAATTCAATTCAGGTCTTTTTTTCCCATACTCATACTGAATCATTTTTTAAAATCTATAATAGCAAGCACTTCCATATTGCCTGTTAGGTACCTGGTACTGTTCCCAGCCCTTACATATATTAACTTATTGAATCCTCGCAACAATCTTATGAGGTAGATACTGTTACTGTCCATTTTATTGGCAATACTGAAGCATAGGTTAAATAACTCATCCAAGGTCATTACACCTATTAAGTGTTGGAGCCGTGATTTGAATCTAGATAGTCTCCCAGAATCTGTGCTCCTGGGTCATACTGCCTCTCTGCTTTGCAAAATCCAGTGGTCAGTTCTCTACATATTTTACTCTCAGCAAAGCACTTTCTTCACTTGATTTCTCAGAAACTACACTCTTCCGTCTCACCAGCTATTCCTTCTTAACACCTTTACTGGTTCTTTCCCTTCCCGAATTGTAAATGCTAGAGTGCTCCAGGGTTTAATCCTCTGCCCTCATCTCTCCTCCACTTATATTGTTCCTAAGCCTATGACTTGACATACTGTCCTTTTGTTGTCTCCAGCCCTGACTCTCCCTTGAAATGCAAGCTCTTGTCCACCCAGCTACTGAACTTCCCCCTTGGATATCTAATGGCTCTAGTCTAACAGGAACAACCCAGATCTCTAGTAAATGGTGTCACCATTCCTTGAGACCACTCACATCCCGGTAAATTCTGTCAGCTCCATCTTTATAAATTCTAATCTGCGGGCTTCTTTTCACCTTAGTCTGAGTCTCCATCTCTTTCCTGGACTACTACATAGCTTCTGATTGGTCTTCCTTCAGCTGTTCTTATCTGCCTCTGATCTATTCATTGTACAGCAAATAGAATGATCTTTTTTTTTTCCCAAAATATTTTTTTTATTGATTTTTGAGAGAGAGGAAGGGAGAAGGGAGAGAGGGAGAGAAACATGGATGAGAAAGTACATCTATTGGCCGCCTCCTGCATGCCCCCCACTGGGGATTGGGCCCACAACCTGGGCATGTGCCCTGACTGGTATTCAAACCAGTGACCTCCTGGTGCATGGGTCGATGCTCAACCACTGAGCCATACTGGCCGGGCAATCTTTTTTTTTTTTTTAACACAGATCACATCATTCTTCTCAGAACCCTCCTTGTTTTCCATCACACTTAAAATCTAAACTCTTTATTATGGCATATAAGGCCCTCTGTGGATCTTTTCCTGCCATTTTAACCTCCTGTTCTACTCCACCCCACCGGCCACCTTCTGTTGTTTCAGTACACCAAAGGCCTTTCCAACCTGGGGCCTTATACATGCCATTTCCTCTGCCTAGGACACTTTTATTCAGGATTTTACATGACTTACTTCCTTGCATTATTCAGATTTCTGCTAGATGCCATCTCTTCAGAAAAGCATGATCTATTTTCTTGCCCTGCTTTATTTTCTTTAGCTCATTACTATTTGCTGATTATTTATTATTTCTCTGCCCCATTAGGGCAGAGGCTTGGTCTGTCTCATTCAGTGCCTTTTCCCATTCATATTGTAGGCACCCAATTAATATATGTTCTTATAGTGAAAGAAAGAATACTCTGAAATTGCATTCCATGAGTCCTTCCCTTTGCCTACTTCATTCTTGTTCCCCTACCCCCCTCACCATGCCAACTTTTCCTATTTTATTTTAATATTCTAGCCCTTAGTTCCTTGTTTTTGGCTTTTATGCATGGAGACTTGATATACTGGGAGGTTTACAGGTTATAGTAGTATGTTCACATTTTATAAGTAATTTGCTTACTCTACTCCATTTTGCTAAGGCGATTTGTGTGGAACTTCTTCCGCCTGGAGAATGAACATCTGAACAACTGTGGTGAATTCCGTGCTGTGCGGGACATCTCTGTGGCCCCTCTGAATGCAGATGATCAGACACTTCTAGAGCAGATGATGGACCAGGATGATGGGGTACGAAACCGCCAGAAGAACCGGCCATGGAAATACAGCCAGAGCATATCTCTACGCAGGCCTCGCCTCGCTTCTCAGTACGTATGGCTTCCACTTATGTGAGAGAAAGTTCCTTCAGGTTTTAGCACTGGATAACATTTAAACTAAAAAGCTAACAGGGTGAACCAAATGAAACTGCTGGTATTCAGCCATTTTTCACCTGCGAAAAACAGCAATAACAATAATTTCACATCCTCCAACCTATGAAAAAGTCTTAATGAGCACATAGAAAAATGACATTAATACATTAATGCCCACTAATTTAGTGTTAAAATTACACTGGAGAAATTTTCTTAGAGAATAATTTATTTGACTCTTCAGTATGTTTTGTATACAAATAATTTCAAGTTATAGGAATTGTGGCTCTGCCAGTTGCTGTCTATATAACCTTGGCCAAATTACTTAATTTCTCTATATTAACCCTCATCTGTAAATTACGATTAATATGGTCCCTGTTCATAGGATGGCTAAGTGGATTAAATTTGTTGTGAATGGGGTTTAGTCCAGTTTCTTCACAGAAAGAACTCAATAAGTATAAGTTATTTTTATTTTATTTTATTTTATTTTTCTTTATCCTCACCTGAGGACATTTTTCCATTTTTTGTTCAGATAGAGTGGGAGGGATAGAGAGAGAGAGAGAGAAACATCGATGTGAAAGGGACACATCGAGTGGCTGCCTCCCGCACGACCCAACCAGGGCTGGGGACAAACTACAACCGAGGTACGTACCCTTAGCGGGAACTGAATCCGGGTCTCTCTGGACCGCAGGCCGACGCTCTAATCGCTGAGCCAACCTGGCCAGAGCTATTTTTATTTTCTTACTAAATAACTACAGTAGTATTTTTATCAGTCATTGACTTTGTATGTTGCTAAAAATAACAATAAATATAACATATATTGTGGCTGCATTTGAAATTTAGAGATAGTACATATCATAGTGGATTGGAATGAAGGAGGAGACTTAAAGTCAAGCATGAGCAGTTTTATAAAGGATAGAGGGAGTGTTTGAATAGGCCAGAGGCCCAGTAAAGACAGAAGAGTGGAAATGAGGGGCTAAAAGAAAAACCATGTGATTAGAACAGTCATAAGAAAATTTAGCTGAATAGATGAAGTGTGATTGTGAAAGGCTGAAAAGTACAAGCTTAATCGTGTAGGCAGAAAGGAGTCACAGAATTTTTTCAAAGAAGAATAACATTATGAAAATAGTTTCATAAGTTTTAATGGCACTGCAATATATATTAGTTTCTTAAAGTATGGGACATTAAGGACTTGGATTAGAATGCTTACAATAGGTCTAAAAGGAGTGTAAGAGATGTTTTAAAGGAAATAAAAAATAGGCAGTAGTAATGATAACCTGTAAATAGAAGGAAGCAGTGTAGAAATTGCCCAAGTTTTAGATAGAAGTTGGAAATGCTCTGAAGAGAAGAAGGCCGAGAAGAAAAGAGAGCAAGGAACTGAGCCTTAGGGAACAAACACAGGCAAGAGAAAAAAATAAATAAAAGGACAAAAAAGGAATGGTCAGGCTTTTCGGTTGAAACCACCATCTTCCAGTAATTTGCCAAAATGACTAACACAAAGGGAAGAGGAGAGGCACCCACTGTGTGTTCTCTAGGTCTTTTAGAACACATGGAATTGTTCCTTTGGCCACATAGATGCAAGTCTACAAGAAAGGTAATATTGTAGACATCAAGGGAATGGGCACTATTCAAAAAGAAATGCCCCACAAATGTTACCATGGCAAAACTGGGAGTCTACAATGTCACTCCGCATGTGGTAGGCATTGTTGTGAACAAACAAGTTAAGGGCAAGATTCTTGCCAAGAGAATTAATGTATGTATTGAGCATATTAAGCACTCTACAAGCTGAGATAGCATCCTGAAACATGTGAAGGAAAGTGATCAGAAAAAGAAGAAAGCCAAAGAGAAAGTTACCTGGGTTCAACTAAGTGTCAGCCTGCTCCACCCAGAGAAGCACACTGTGTGAGAGCCAATGCAAAGGAGCCTGAGGTGCTGGAACCCACTCCCTATGAATTCATGGTATAATAAGTGTAAAAAAAGAAAGAAAGAAAGAAAGAAAGAAAGAAAAGAAAGAGAGAGAGAGAGAGAGAGAGAGAGAGAGAGAAAGAAAGAGGGAGGGAGGGAGGGAGGGAGGGAGGAAGGAAGGAAGGAAGGAAGGAAGGAAGGAAGGAAGGAAGGAAGGAAGGAAGGAAGGAAGGAAGGAAGGAAGGAAAGAAAGAAAGAAAGGCTTCTGTGCTGATAAAATTGTTTCTCTTAATTGAGTAGAAATGTTGTGTTCTTTCCAGCCCACCAAACAAAGAAAACCTGGTGTCCTTAAAAAAAAAAGGAGTGGTCAGGGGTCAGTAGGAAGAATTTCAAAACAGTGCATGCTACTATTATAGCAAGGAACCAGAGTTTTGAAGAACAGAAGGAAAGGGTGTAGGGGCAATTGGGGTCAGCAAGATAAATGCCACAAAAGGCTGGAAGACAATGCTGTAGGTGGTTATGTCCGTGAGCTCCTAAATTTGAAAATCTAGTCCTTGTTAGTTGCCAGCAGAGGGCAATCTAAACATACACTATTTCTGTTTCAAAAACTAGGAAACTCTTTGGCAGTAGATTATGTTCAATTTCAGGTGTTCATGGGAAAACACTGCAATACTAGATTGCAACCAGAGGGGAAGATGTTTAGAAAAATGGAACAGGTTCTGTGCAAGTAGAAAGCAGGGAATCTAAAATAAGATCTGCATTTGAGTACTTTGTGACTCATGCAACTTTGAACACATCCTTAACTTTTTTGAATGTCAGTTTCTACCTCTGTCAAGAAGGAATAATAATATCTACTTCACCAAGTACCATTTTTACCTCATGTGGCTTATGAATTGCAGCATATTTTAATATTATCTAGTCTGATTTTTCATCCAGTGAAGGAATCTCTTCTGGAGCATCTTGAGTAGACATCTTGGTCATCTTCTGCTGATTGATATTAGTGGTAATGGAGTTTATAATTACACGAGGCACGTGGTTATTGTTGGATAGTTACCATGATAAATAGCTTATGTGGGACTAGATATGTTTCACTGTAACTTCAGACTAAGTTATCATAGAGAGCCCAACTAGGATCATTTGTCAATAGTTTGAAGACAACTGTCATGCCTCTCCTTAGGTCTTGTCTTCTGCAGGCTGACTCTCCTGGTTTTTCATGTGTACCTCAAATGGTATTATTTGTGCCATCCTCATCATAATTCTTTGTATTTGTTGAATGCTTTACTGATGCTTTTTACATCCATTTTCTTACTTGATACTCACACTATCTCCATGAGGTGAGAATAGTATGATGTGTAATATGTATTTTTATTACTGCTGTACAGAGATTGAAAACTGGCACTCAAAGAAGTTAAAGAGATACATCATAACATCAGAATCAGTACTCAAATTCAGATATTCTTATTACAGAATACGACTCTCTGTTGCACATGACCTGCCATTGTTCTTATTGCCTTCCTCAGGTTGCAGTCTAGTTTACTGGTGTTTTTCCAATAATACCTAAAATTGAATATGAAACTCCAGGAATAACCCATCTGGTGCAGTATATAGTGCCTGTTTAGAATCTGTTCTTAATGGTGGTCAGATTGGAAGTGGACCTGATACTGTGGATGTGTTTGTCTTTTAGTAATAGACTAAGTGCTATTTTCCCCTTCTTACCACTAGATCCAAGATTCGTGACACTAAGGTATTGATAGAAGACACAGACGATGAAGCTAACACTTGAATCCTCTGAAGTCCAGATTAACGTCCTTGGTTTTCCTACTCTACAATTCTTTCCTCGACCAACGCAACCTCTAGTACCTTTCCAGCCGAAAACAGGAGAAAACACGACGCATTTCCGAGCTCTTCCAGATCGGATCCTATGGACTCCAAACAAGCTCACTGTGTTTCTTTTCATTTATTCTGGTTTAATTTTTATTTTCTATTTTTAAAACAAATATTTACTTCATTTTGCCAATCAGAGGACATTTTAAGGAACAAAAACATAGTATCAAATGGATTGTTTACAATCACAAGAACACAGATACCTATCAGGATGAAGAACAGGCATTGCAAGGACCCTCTGATGGGACGGTACTGAGATACCTTGGCTTCTGCTCGGCCCGGTTTTGACTGGTTGAAACCGGACATTGGTTTTTAAATTTTTTGTCAATTTATGTGGAGAATTTTTTTCTTTCCTTCATACCCAGCGCAAAAGCACTGGCCGCACTTGCAGGGAAAGTGCAACTTAGAGCAGTACCTTCATTCATGAAGCTACTTTTTAATTTGATGTAACTTTTCTTATTTTGGGGAGGGTTACTGGGTGGGTGGGAAATATGATGTATTTGTTACATATAGTTTTCTCATTATTTATGAAACTTAACCATAAAAGAATGATATAACTCCTGTGCAATGAAGGTGATAACAGTGAAAGAAGATGGGGGAAACTAATGTTGGACAGCATTTAGGAGGGTTTAGTCCACAATACCTCTTTCATGAGACAACTTGCACCCGTTTGACAGAGTTTTTTCTTTCTTTTTAATTTTAAGCCAAAGCTTCATTACTGATTTTTTAAGTTGCTGCTGCTTTAGAATTCTGAACATGTCTCTTATATCAAAGCATCCACACACTTTCACACAACTGGTTGAAATTTATTTTAAGAGGTCTGATACCTTTTTTTTTTCTTTAAGGAACAGATGTGGAATACATTGGCCCATATTCCAACCATAACAACTAAAGTTATGCCTTATTAAGCTTCAGCATGTAGGATAATTGAAGTATAGCCTTTACTAACTCTGAATTAGAAGACAAAGCTATGTCAGAGACCCTACACCCTCATTAGATAGCTCTTCTTCTGGAGTCTCACTTCCGTTAGCCAGATTGTGATCAAATTAAGTCTGTCTTGGGGAAACCATGTTTTTGAGAGCATAGAACAAATCCTTCCTTGTACTTAGTCCTCTTTCACATTACACTGATAAAATAGACGTTGGCAGCCATTTCTCCCAGCAGTTTTAAAAGATGAACATTGGATTTCATGCCCTCCTCTGTTGGAAAACCCACTTTTAAAATTTTGGGGGTCTAAGCTTCGTCATACACAAAAAGTATATTACTTAGATATTTCAGATTAGAACTGTCTGTTCACAATGCCCATTTTTACTTCTTTGTCTAATTTCTTTTCTACGTTCCTAACCTTAACCCAAATAAGCCCGAAAACTGTAAGGAATTTTACTTTCTTGAATGTGGTTAGCATTAAATTTAGCATTTCATTATCTAACAAAATTAATATAAATACCAGGAAAAGTAAAATATGTGTTAATCCTCCCATCCCCCCTAGATCCAGATGAAGATTCCAAATTTGTGAAATTAAATTACTTCTGTCATTTTCAGCTTAATTTTAGACAAAGGAACAAATTAGTGGAAGGGCAGCTGTTATCATGTACTTAGTCTAAAAAAACATACGGTTACTGTCCCATAATATACCCCTTCTATTATCAGCTCTTTCCCCATGCATCACAGTCTTTACTCGTTCCTGTTGTAATTTCAGTAGATTATATTAATGTTACCCTGACTGATAGTTAACTGACAGATAGGTTTTTTTAAAGGGGTTTCTTCCATCTTGATTTTGACAAGCTTCCAAAATGTTCCCTTTGTGAATCAAGATTTTTTTCTTTTGAAAAAAAATGTTAGAGCTTTTACTGTTTTTTGTGTGTTTTGCCAAGCATGTATCTTGTCCCAAAACTAAAGAGGAAAATTTAATTACTGAGGTTTTTTTTAGTTTAAATAAATTAAATCATAATAATCAGGGATAACGAGTTAGTGCTCCATAAGAGATTAAAGGTTGCATTATTTATATTTGGGATTTTTCCCCCCTAACTATTGTTTTTGTACTTTAAAACTATGGGGGAACTATCACTGGTCTGTCAGGAAATGGCAGTAATTATTACTGAGTTATATAGATAAGTCCAGTGGACCAATCATTTCTTGTACAAATAAAGTTGGTGGTACTGATGTATATTCAGAACAATTTGAATGATCAGCTTCATTACTCTATTAGTAAATCTATATAGTGACACACATGAAATCTTACAGTTGACTTCTGGCATATGAACTCAGTGTGTCCTATAGCAAATTTGGTCTTTCTTCATCTGCTATGATTCTAGGCCCTAATCAGTATTATTTATTCATAGATAATATAATGTTAGAATGTATTTTTTTCTGGTGTATTTGTCCTATTAGCATAGTCTATTCAAAAATGATGAGACTTATGCAACTTTCAGCTTACTGTGACAGATGCTTAAATATGTATTTAAACACACACAGCTTTCTGTTTCTTCTAAAGCTATAAAGATAAAAAGGGGGCTTTTCCTCATCAAGAGGAAACAGTTTGGGAAACAGAATATACATTGAAATTTTTTCCTCCAAAAAAGGCAATGTGCATTTTTCTCTCCCAAATTTTATGTTCTAGCAGTTGCGAATGCTATGTCCAACCTAAAATTTTCTTGGACTTCTGTGCACTGAAACTCTCACTAGGACTCTTAGGAAATGAATATCACAGTCATTTGAAAGGAACAGCAATCTAACCAAAGGTAAAATTTTCATCTGATTTTAGGTTTAGAAATTCTAGTTATGTTTTATTTGAGAATTATGCAATTTATGGTATTAGTTAAAATACTCCCCAAAGGAATGTAAAGCAAGTATAAATAAAATAATGAAGTTCATTTTTCCTTTTATGATAGATAGTATGGGTGTGTAGAGAAACTAGAAGACAAAAGTGACTTACTATCTATGCACAAATATGCATCTATATTTAAGGTTGCCTATTCCATTAAAATGGAATAATTGATGATTTCATATTATACAGAGAGACAACAAAATAAAGATTAAGTCATTGTTAATTAGGTTATAATGGTTATTTTTAAGATTGGAAAGAAGTTGAAAACCCATGTGCAACTTTCTTTTCCAGCATCTACCATTTTTCTCCTTAAGAAAGCTGCTTAACTTCAGCTCCAGAAGCAATGGAGTGAGAGGGGAATGCCAGTTATCTCAGCAGTAACCTATATGGACCCTTAAAGAAGGAAAATGGGACTCATCCCCTAGGATATATGACTTCCCAATATTCTTAACATGAGAGTTCTAAGAAATTAACTGAGATTTTGCTAGAAATAAAATCCACCATGGTTGACTGAAGTACATTCATGATAACTAGAGAAAGCAATTCATCCTTGCTTACCAGGTAAACTAATGCAAATTAAGAATGGAAGAAAGTAATCTGTTGCTGAGTCATACAGGCATTAGATTAACAGACATGTAGTTGAAGAGAAACCAAATGATTGTGGAGACAGCAGAAAAGAGCAGGAGGAAGCTGGACCTGGGAAGCAGATGCAGGGCAGTGAGAAGGGTACATGGTCTCCATGGTGCAGAGGTGATGCCTTGTTGACCTCTCTTTCCAGTGGTGTTGCTGGTAGGGACCTGCCTTTATTTTCCTGTCATCTTTCTCCATTATTTTGCATTATTCAGGAAATGGTTCTTTATGCCCAAATGTCATTTTCCAAGCAATGACTAGAAAAATTTCTTAGTCTAAGGAAAATAATTTAGAAAATAACCCTATCCATGGTATCATTTTATTCAAAAACAGAATTCTCTGAAGTTAATGCACTTTATTTAGTGAACAAATTTCAAATTATTGTTTTCTTTGTTAGTTTGCACAAAATTTGCCTTTCTTGCTATATAACATTTAAATTTTAAAAATTAAGATAGCTTCTCAGATTTAAAAAATAATCATGCTGAATCTATGCCTTTCTCAACTACCAAATCACCACACTTTTCCCAAATCTAATGAAAAAGCCAATCTATAGTCACTAGGTTAAGACAATAAAAATTCTATTAGAACTTTGGGAGAAGTTAGGTAAAGAGTAAATCATTTATCAACTTTGTTCTTTTTCTTTTTATGGTGCATCTAAGTTTTATTTTTTGCTTATAATTAGCTGAAGCAAGGAGAGTTTAGGTGAGATGTAACAGATTAAACATACATTCTTCATTTGAGGTATCAGTTGATAGTAAATATTAAAAGCTAACTTTCCACATTGAATTTCAATCTGTACAATGTCAGAGCACAGTGGTAATTTGGGATAGAATTGATTAGAGCATACGAAGTTTATGCTGGTCAGTGCTACAAACTAATAATTTAAGCAGCATTAAACCACATTCCACCCACCAGATATGAAAAAGTAAAAGCATCTCATTAGATTTGGAAGAGCTTAATTTAAGTGATATGAGAAGTCTGGCTCATAATGCCTTTGTTGGCATTATGAATTGGCAAAACTCTGATATTGAGTTGCCCCCTAAAAACAACCTTCCAGAAAGTTACTGGCTTACCATGGAAGAGGGCATGAGAGGGGCATGATGAGAGTTTCCCCTGAGCAACTGTAGTAATTTTCATCTAATGTATGTTTCCTGGTAGCAGACCTTTGGTTTATTTTATTATTAAATCAAAGCCACCTTCAGTGTTTGTTTGTTTGTTTGTTTTATGGTGCCATCAACCTAAGGAGGACAATCAAATAACCAATTGTTTGCCTTGGATTCAGTGTGTCTGCTAATTACAGTCTCATCTATATATCTTCAGACCAGTTACTTGACTAAACTTCCACCATATTACCTTAGTTCTTCCTATGCCCTTTCCTCTGAACCACCACCAGTCAGAGGGAAGACTTACTACAAGAAATATGTTGACTTGTAAGAAAGAGCAAGGATTCCATCTCACTATTTCTATCATGATCTCTGAAGTCCCTACCCACACTTCCCTGATTGTCCTAGAGCAACACCAGCATGGTGGGAATAATCAGAACGATTATTAGGTGAAAGATTGTGGGGAATCTCAAAAGAATAATCATGACATTGTTATTCTTTTGAACTGTAAAGTAAAATTGTGAGCCACTCACATTTTCAAAAAGAGCAGAACTCAAGCTTTATCACATTGTGAAGGTTAATGTCTTGCTATTTTCCAGATTAGCACAGAAGCTTGTGTCAATGAAGAGTATTTAGGAGGGGAATAGGGTGTAAAATTTGTTTTTTTTCAAACCCTCTCCCTCTATTCATGTTTCCTGTCATGCCCTACCACATTGTGTTGGTCAAATGATACTATTCTATGAAACCCTGAGCTATAGTTGTCAAAAGTAACTATGGAATGTGATTAGTCCTCTGTGGGTGCTCTTTTCCCTCTTTTTTCTGCCTTGCTTTCTTTCTTACTCTCCACTCTGGTAAATGGAAAAGGTGACGTCAAAGAATCGATGCTTGCTTGGACTCATGTTGTATCTGTGACTATGCTATGAGCTGTCTCCTTTTTCCTTCTTATATGGGTAGAATTCTTATGAAGTGTGGAGTTCCCTTCTTGATAAGTAGGTTAAATGCACAATGTGGTACTGTTTTATAGTTTTTAGATGGTTGTATAAAGCAAAAAGTTAATGTGGTTATGTGTTTTTAAAAGAAAATAAGTGATTGGTTACAAAACTCTGTTCTTTTTTCATTATTACAAGCTCTCTCTGTTTTCCAAGTTTGCTGACTCCTTTGTCACTGGTGTATGGTTTGTGTGATTGTGTTTTTCTCTCTGGGTTTCTTGGATTCCTGAACATGAGTCCTCTTGTGAAAGGGTTTTAGGTCAAACATTTTAACTCTTAATAATCTTAAATGACCTTTTTTCTTTAGGTAATATACAAAGTGTGGCTTTAAACTAATGGGATTGATGCAAAGAATCTCAAGTATTGGGTGAAATGATATGTTCAGTTGTATTTTGGAGAGCTGGACACCTGGTATCACTACATATCCATGCCCTGTGTGGGAACATAGAACTTTCTGTAGAATTTCTGGATTAGTTATCACTCCTTATATCTGTCTAGGAAAAATTCTAAAGTTAACCCTAAGATGAATGTACTCAAAGTACAAAAAAAGAAAATATTTTCTTGACAAAAGCGTAAAAGCCTTTTTATTTTAATACCCCAAGCTCTTTTCTTACTATAGTTCTGTGTAGGCTAAACCAGAATGTGATAATGTGGAGTTTCCAGATTAAATTCAAGATACATAATTCAAGATACGTTGTGAATGTATGTAAATCACTGGATACTTAATACTCCTTCCTATAATCTGATGATAATACATGCTCAACATTTGTATGCATATAGTATTTTACATTTTCCAAATATATATAGCATCTCGGATATGTCGGTTAACAAGTCATCTCAATTTGTAGATGAAAAGACAAAGACTTAGACCAGCCGAGGGTACAATCCCAGATGATTTGTGGAGGCCACTCACCATCCATCTATCTTAGACATATCCAGAATCCTTCAGCTATGTTTGGTGACTTAGTATCTTTATATGGACAACTTTGCTTAGATCTTTTTCTAAGTTTATGAGAATAGTAATAACTAATTTTATACTTTCTGATTTTCTTCCTAAGAAATTGAGGTTTTGAAATTTAAAAAATTAAATTAGTATGTGTTTATTGAGTTCCTATTATTATAGTTTTATAATACAGAGAAGCAGAGAAAGGTGATAAAATCATTTCTAAACTACATATCTAAAACCACATGTCCACTCCAGGGGAAGCTGAGTTTTCTCTCTTAAGTTAGAGTTTCCTCTTCATCCCTTCATAGGCAGATACTATTCTGGCTTTTTAATTCTTTAAAAAAATACTAGTATTAGATCTGTTAAGATTTATTTCTTAAGAACTTTCTAGGGCCAAAAAACTGTTCTTATAATTCATCTTATAATTCCCTTATTAGAAATATCTTATCTGAATGGATGTACTTCTTTTTTTAACAACTGGGGACAGCTTCCCACACAGGAAACATTTAAATGATATAATTAAGTAACACATTAGCATCAAAGTTCAACCAGTGTTTACCTTTATAAAATGAAGTCCCCCCTGAACATTAATATATTTCTATGGACCGCGTAGCTGAGTGTCGGTGAGGATGATGGAGCATCTGCCTCGCTCCAGCAAGACAGCCCCATGGCGTCTTTTCT